GTTCTCGGTGCACATGACATAAGCAAGAAAGAAAAAAGTCAGCAACATCTCCAAGTGGAAAGATTCTTCATACATCCGAAGTTCAATGAAGCAAACGATTATGACATTATGCTGCTTAAGGTAAAGTAAAACAGTGTAAAAGTCCTTATCAAGGTTAATCTTAAGTGTTTGAACAGAATCAGAATCTCTGTTAAGCGTTTTGTGGCTTTTATCATCATGGGGTAAGTTTCACTTTGCCACCCTGTCACGCTCAAAAGGATTTCACACATTTGCAGTGAAGCGGGGGAGGGATGTGGGGGTGACGCACTTTACTTAAAAACTCAGTGTTGCATTAAGAGGATATAACCCACACACACACACACACACACAATGTCAAGTCTAACAGAAGCTTTAATCATCTTTAAGGCACAATAAATAATGTAAATATAATTGCACTGATTGCTCTGTTTTCTTACAGTTAAAAACCAAAGCAAAACTGAACAAATATGTGAAGCCCATTGGATTATCTAAGAAAAAGGGGAAGACCCCCGCCAATGTTGCATGTGCCGTTGCTGGCTGGGGCAAAACAGCAGCCAAGGGGCCTGTCTCACATGTCCTAAGGGAAACCACGGAGAAGATCCAATTCAGCAGCGAATGCAAAAATATCTGGAAGGAACACTTCATTACTGAACACATGATATGCACCAAGTTTAACAAAAAGAAGGGAGGACTTTGCCAGGTAATTGAGCAGAACAGTAATAATGCAACGTTACAAAATTAAATAAATTAGTTTCTTTTATTTATGAAGAGTAATCGTCATCTTTCCACAATCAAGTGTTTCTCTTGCTTTTTTCGTGCAGGGGGATTCTGGTGGACCGCTGATCTGCAACAGCAAACCTCAGGGTATAACAGCTTTTACTGCCCTGGATCAGTGTGACAATCCCAAGTATCCTCATGTCTTCACAAGCATTAATTTCTTTCTCCCCTGGATCAAGAAAACCATGCAGGGGTAGGGGAATGTTGAATGAGCCACTATTCAGAGGCCAAGAATTTGTCTTCACTTGATTATTAAGACAGCTTAATAAAGCAAAATTCAAATTAATTTAGCTTGAGAAAGGAAAGTGTTTTATGTGAATGTTTTGCAAAGGTATGAAAAAAAAATCACAGTTGCTTCTATTAGAAAGATTTAGTTACAAAGAATTTTTGGAATATGGTTGTTCAACCTAAAATAATAAAAGTAGCTATAGGATGTTCCTGTGTCCTTCCTTTCTTTGCTCGAGCGTGTCTCTTCATTCCTGCAAATCTCTTTTTGAAAGATTTCTGTGCAAGTTTTGTCAACTATGTACATATTGAATCTGTAACTCATTTAAAAACTGTCTTTTCAGTAGCATAGGTCTGAGTCATTTCTGGATGAACATGTGTGTAAGGTTCATGTGGATGGTACACCATTTTGCAGAAGAGGGCAGATAGAGAAAGTATTTCAGTGAGTGTGGTGGTTGTGGTGGAGAAGCCCCCACACACACTCTGTACAGACCACCGCTGTAGTGTTCACGTCTTGTCAGTCATAGTGCAAACTTTTGAAGTTGAAGCGTTTTCTCTCAGTGAAACCTGCCAACTGCAGAGAGGAAAAGAAATGTGATGTTTAGAAGAAACAGCTCACCTTAAAATTACACCACAGTCCTCATTAAGTCAAGTTTCTAAAAATCAATAAAGCCTGAAAACTCACCTGACTTGGATCTCTTGTGAAATATCTCTTTTCTATAACCTGTTATGAGAGAGGTGAAAAGTTTTTGAGTTAAACTTAACAAAAAAAAGTTCACGGTTGTCCGGCAGGTTTGAAACATAGACTGTTTGTAAAGATGGACAAAGCGCCTGTCTTCCTTCCCAGNAACTAGGCCAAGATGGAGAAGTCATAGTTGTTATTTTCTAATATTTTGCCAACTAAAAGTATCGGTCTACCCTCAATATAACAATTATTATACAGAGCACATGTACAGTATAAACAATATTTAACTTTACATACTGTGTATATTGTAAAGAAAGTTTCTAAAGAGCTGTGTGTCACATTAAAGAACTCTCACCTTGTCAAAGAACCTGCTCAGCTTCACTGCATTCGATGTGCCTGCAGCCAGGTATCTGGGGTTAGTGCAGTCCTGGGAAAACAAATTACCCATCAGCCACAAACCTCAAATAAATATTACAAAAAGAAAAAAGGGCTTATTTCAAATTGTAATGATGGCATGTAATTGTTTGCAGAAGATTCTTTTCAACATTTCTAGTGGAAATGTGGGATGCACTGCTGTCTGCTGAAACTAGGTGTCACTAAAGTCCCACAGCTTTTCAAATAATACACAGAGAAGCATTTGTTTGTGATTATTAGTTATAGTTTAACAATGTTCTTGTGGAACATTTCTGACCTATGTTCAAATGCCTAAGAGCAGTTATCTTTTAACACTGAGTTGAAGCCAGCAAAGTTACAGATTTAATATTAGACAAGGCCTCAAGATCAGAGCTTGTATGAATGGAGGTCAACCCACCAGATTGATCTCCTCAGCATTGAAGTCTTCAGAGAGAAAAGCTGTTCGGGTGAGAACTTCATTGCGTTTGTTGTCTGGGATCTGGTCAAACTTGGTGCCAATCAGCAGCAAAGGCACTGGGTTCTCAGCAAACTGCTCTCTATCATAGTCACTACTGTAAGAAACACCCCCCCCCAAAAAATGCCATTACTTATTGGTATCTTGATTTTTGATAAATGTATTAGTGTTTGGGTTCTCCATACTGAGAATACCAAAAACACATGTCTGCTTACCCGTTTGAGACAATGACTCCTGTTGGAGAGGAATCCTTATTTAAAGCTTCCAGTGACCAGCGGTAAAGGTTCTGAGAGGATTTCTTATTTGTCAAATCATGTACCAATATAATTCCTAGAATAATCCAGAAAAGGACAGAACATACATTAATATTACACCTTAATATTTCAGATTTGTGTCAAAAATTGTAGAAAATGAAAATGAACTTTACCATTAACTGAGTTGTAGAAGACCGCTCTGGTGCTTTTGATGCTGCTGGCACTGCCAATAGATCCTCCGACATCCCACAGCTCAATATAGTAGGTTTTCTCCTCCGGGGTTCCCTCTTTATAGTCTTGAACCTGTCGTTGAATGAACATTTCAAACTTTAAATTACATTAATTCACGGCAATCTTGTAACTGCAGTATTTTATTTACCATAAATGTAAATACTATCAAGTCAGTGTAATACATGTCTATACTTATACTATACTGCTACTCTTGAGACCAAGTATGGTTCCAGTTAAAAAGCCCGGTGACATCAGTTTAGATTTGTGTTCAGCCTGCGTACCCGAACATCCACAGAGCACCCCACCGTCCATGATGGATTTCCTAACACCTGGTTCTGACACAGAAGATGGACCAAGGAAGATTTGCCCCCACCTACAGAAAATATGAGATATGGTGAGATGACCGATATTATTAGCTGTCTTAAACAACACGTACACACACCCAGTCTACTCAATGGGAAAACATTCAATCTGAATCTTTTTTTCTGAAACTGTAACTTTTGCACAAAATCAGTATTTTTTTGCGCTAACACTCAGGTGGACTGTCAGATTGACTGTCATACTGTACAAATTGCACTGTCACTACACTGTTACACTTTACTATGTTTATCTCTTTAGCAGGTTTTTATAAAGGAAAAAAAATACATTTAGATTTTTACTTCTTGATTCTTGTTCTGATTTCTAGAATCAGGTAAATGCTGCTGCTACAAGAAGAGATGCTCAAACAATTTTCACTGTTTTAATGTTGGTGACAATGTTGAACATTGACAATAAAGGATTCTGATTCTGATTATTGGGTGGATTATAATATACTCAGGTACTGACTGTCTCACACATTCAATCATACTGAGTCTTAAAGTAACATGATGGTAAGAAATGAAGACAGTGATAACAAGCCTCTATTGAATGAATATGTAAGTAGACATGTAATAGTATAACATAATCATCGTTTGTGTAGAACATATTTACATTCACTACACTCTATTGGTATAACTTATACCGGCAGATATGTTCGGATAAACTTTAAACGTATAGTGTGTGTCTGTCTTATAGTAAACAGCCTTATTACAAGTGAATACACAGAGAGTTCACCTGTAGATAAGACAGCTCTGTAGCTTCAATTAGCTTCACGGAGCCACTGAAACAGACTGTTGACAAGAGTTTGGGTTGATGCATTTAAGCTTAGAGGAGTGAGAGACATGTCCAACTTCTTCCAAACCCAAGTCAATAGTTTACTTAAATAAGCGAACACGTTTGTATGAAATTCTGAAGAGTAAAAATGTCACATAACTCACCAGAATCTCCTAAAACCAACACTTTGACTCTGTCCAGAGAAGCCATGTTTAGCAACAGCGGCGTCCCGGAAGAAAACAGTGGAAAGCCCGCCTTCAAACTCGATTCTGATTGGTTGGATCACTGCGTCTATTGGCTATGGATTGCCGATTGTCCCTCTCAGCCAATAGGAATTTATCTGAACCTTTTTATTAGATTTTTCTTCCGGGTTCTTCCTGTGACATCATGAAGCATGTTAGCTAACTTAGAAGCTAACAGACTGACATGTTTAAATGTGTTCAAGCGGAGTTTGTTTGAAACGAAGTCACCGTGTTGTCTGAAATATCTTGAAGAAGGTGTAGCTGTGTGCTAACACCTTGTTGCAACACAAAGAGAGTCAGGTAAGAAGCTACGAGCTAATTGTTTTCCGGTCTTCTGCTAACACAACTTCATGTTGGCTGCAACTTAAGTTATCGTTAGGTAGCATTAGCAAACTGGAAGTGAAAGATAATGTAAAATACAACATATTGTTAAATCGACCCAACGTTGCAAGCCAGATATAGTTCCAGCACCAATAGTAGCAGGTCACTGTTATTTGTCTTTGTGTGAGTGGGCTAATGGTAGGATACCGTTAAGTTAGCACAGCTTACAGTCAGCTTAGCTGTCAGTGTTGTCTGGTAGCATTAGCATCATTATATCTGAGCTCAAAGCAACTGGGCAGGTTAAAAGTTATCTTACACTTTAACAGATGTTTTTTACATTAGTACTGTGTCACACAAATGAAGTACTGATAGATGTCTGTGTCTTACAACGTTAAACCTGGTTTTACTTTGAACTATTCTCTTGTAACATGTGGTAATGAAGGTGTTTGTGTCTCCTCATTTGATTTTTAACGATGGATTTTACTTTAATTGTACCTGTCTTGATACATGATATACTGTGGAGAACTTAACTTGATTAGAGAGGAACTGTGAGAGAATTGCTATTATGAATAGTATTAACACTAATACAATTAAGTAAATCATCATATATGAAAGGATAAAGTGAAAGGGGCGATCTCATCTGAGAAGATGTTCATCTCTACCGTTAGATTTCCCTTATTGAAGTATTGCTGCTAATTATATCCAAATTTAAATCAACTAATTCACATTCCCAAAGTATATAGCTGCTTTCATACGTGCACTGAACTCAGGAGATCCTCCGCAGTTTCTCTGGAGGTGGTGTTAACGCTAAATATCCAAGTGAGAGCCTCCGAAGTTTTCTGCAGACTTTTGATTTGAGAACACAGCAGGAGATCCTCTCAGGATTCACCATGAGTGAGAGGTGGGGTTGATGACGATTTCTAACACACAACAGACACTAACATTTTCAAAAACAAAAAGAAAACAAATATCTCAGGATGAAAAGGCAGAGCCATACATTTAAAAGTTGATGTGCTGTAAACAAAGTCACTTGATTTTCACAGTGGAATAATATGTTACATCCTGTCTCCACTTGCTACACCACCCCCTCTTTAGTACTCATGCCTAATGTTCTTGCCTGCTGGCTCATATCTTTCTAGAAGACAGTTGCGTTCCATCTTTTTTCAGAGGTTTGATTTTTTTTTTTTYTTCCCCCAGCAGAAGATGATTGAACCAGAGCTATTGACGGAGGTTCCCGCTGCACTCAAGCGGTTGGCTAAGCAGGTTGTGAGGGGTTTCTATGAAGTGGAGCATGCCTTGGCCCTGGATGTTCTAATCCGCAATCCATGCGTACGCGAGGAGGACATGCTGGAGCTTCTCAAGTTTGACCGCAAACAGCTGCGCTCAGTACTCAACACCTTGAAGGCAGACAAGTTTGTCAAGTGCCGCATGCGAGTGGAGACAGCATCTGATGGCAAGACAACGCGGCACAACTACTACTTCATCAACTACAGGTGGTTATTTTACAGCTTTTTTATTGCAGATAATGAACATTGTCTTAAACTCCTCCTGCTGACAGGTGGAGTTTAATTGTGGCTGAAGGCGATGCTTCAGGATGTGGGTGACTCTCGGTATCCTCCTAACAAACGTTAGCACTATCTATCTGCACATTATATCAACAGTGTTATGATGACATAATACCACAACCCTTTCAGAGGGCTGTGGTACACCTGGTGCCATTGAATCTCCCCATGAGGTTAATAATAGCTTTACTCAACTTTCAGTAAATGCACAAGCAATTTAAGACACAGCAATTACTTTTAAGTCTCCCAAATTAATAGCTAATAGATACAATTCACTCTTTATTCAGACATGTGTTTCAAACATGAACTCTGTCTAAATTGTCTGTGTCAGTTGCTTCCAATTTTGTGGAACAGAAAGACCCTAAACAAAATGTCCACTACACATTCAAGTGAGCCCCTGTGAGAATACAGCAGGAATTATGTCTGGAGAAATTGCCGCAAGCAAGTGGGCATGTTGATGATGTTTCAAAAGGGATGAGAAAGAGGTGCCATATAAACATAAGGCACACGCTACAACTTGGAAAGATTTGAGCACTTTTGGTGATTAAGGCCGGACTGTTGTCAATGTGCTGTTAAAAAAAAAACCTTTTCGATAGCTGAATTAATATGTCATGTTCTGCCTCCCGCATGCCCGTCCTGAGGACACCTTTGGACCGAATGTTCTGGATATTTCCTGTTGTTGTGCACTCGTCTTACCCAATCTCCTTATGCAATGAAAGGCAATCTCTGGGAAAATATCAGGAAAATGGGTCTGGACATTTTGGAGTCCATCATTGTAATGTTTCACATTCTATTGTCAAACACATTGAAGTAACTAAATCCTTTAATGTCAATAGATTGCAGTCAACAACACTTTTGTCTATCTGATTTTGTAGGGTACTGGTCAATGTGGTCAAATATAAACTGGATCACATGCGACGGCGCATTGAGACAGATGAGCGAGACTCCACCAACAGGGCTTCCTTTAGGTGCCCTTGCTGTTTCTCCACCTTCACTGACCTAGAAGCCAACCAACTGTTTGACCCTATGACAGGTACAGTAATGTAGCACATCAGTGATGTTGTTCTTTAAAGTGTGTCATAATGCAAAATTACTTGGGCAGTTGTTTGGGAAGATATTATGATGTTCCTAATGGTGTCACATTGAAATGTGGTATGTAAAGACAAAAAGTCAAACAATAGATTTATTTCAAAGGAGACACATTTAACTGTATACAGAATTACTTTCTATCACAGCTTAAAGTCCACAGCACCTTGCTTCCACTCTCTGCAATAGATGTATGAAACCAGTGTATCTCTTCTAAAATAGGGCTCTCGTCTTTAGGCACAAGACAAAATCATAATAATATTTCTGCGATGGCAGAGATTCTTTGACAATAATGTGAAAATAAATAGTCAGCAGTCTGTATTCTTTATGGTGTATGAGGCAGTGCGCCTCTAGATGGCAGTCATGGCTCAGTTTAACTTCAGTGGAATGATGTACTAACATAAAGTCCCTGCAGCACTTTAATGCCTCCAGCCCTTCATTAAAATGTCACTGTCTTTTACCCGCGTTTTATACCTCAGCTTTAACAAAAGTAAAAATATAAAAGTGTGTCTACAAGCAAATTTAATTGTTTGTACTTGTTTTGTTTATGTCCAGCAGTAATGACTTGTTGTTTTTCCCCCCTATTTTTGTTATCAGTTCCATGGCATGGCCTGTGTAAATACTTGATGAAGCTACAGTAATCAGTCCATCACTGACTATTGCTGTGCAGTTAATGAATAATACTTAAATACTGTTTATAGATACCAAACAAAAAGCAACATAAAAAGTAGACTGTAGAAAGTAGCGACAATTTATTTCACTTGAACTCCTTATTTCCCTAAATTCTGTTTACTCTGCTTATTTTGAGTGAAAATTTATTCCAACAGGGCAAAACATTATTTTCACTCAAAAAATGTCCGTAAGGAAAACTTGGTTTGATTTAATTTTGAGAACGAGTCAACAAATCAACATCTTGTGTTAGAATAGTAACTGAATTTGATGTTAGTGGAACTCACTCTGTTCAAGACATGATACAAATTACACAAAGTAGGATTATCACATCTAACCACATTATACCTCCTGAATAATGTGTATATTTTAAAAATGTCATCTGAAATAATATTTGTTGAAACCTTACCACATTGGTTTCTTAACAATGGAATTGCTTGTCATTGCATGCTGCAGATCATAAGAGGTTATTTTCCTAAAAATGCTCCTTCACGCCACAGTAATGGAGATAATTTTTTGCTTTCCACTGGATAAATCAGGCTACCTCAGAAAAGGACAAACAGCCCTGAGGCTTCAGTCCCTCTTTCACTTTGCCAAAAAGTATTTTAACCAAGCTGGAGGGTTCCTTTTGGGCCTTGGATAAAAATAATAATTCGCCTCACTTATCAGTCGGAGGTATCCATTATGTTGTGTCAGCGCACATTTGACAGGTGAGTAAAAGAAGCATTGGGCGGGGTTATGTAGAATTTAAAGGGAACATTAAGCTGAATAACAGACTTCCATCTCAAAGTTATTTGACTGAAAAAACAAAGGCATGACCAGCACATTTGAGTCAGCAGTGCAAGTGAAAAGTTGTCCCACTGAAACCTGCAAGGCTTCTGTTGAATTACTCACAACTTTAGCAGGCAGACACATGTGGTATTCATGTTGTCATAGAAAAGATTGGTTTTCATGGCCTGAGAAAAATAGATTGCCATCTGAAGCCCACACTCAGGCTGTGCTGAATGCATTTATCAAAGTGTGAGGAGTATGTAAATCTCCTAATAGCTTTTAATTAAAATCAGCTGTATAAAAAAAAGCTTTATAACATAAGAAGTATCTCATTTGAAGTTAGCGGGTCTGTTTATAAGACTGGCACATAAGAGAATAACATTTTCTGCATTTCATCCACCCAGAAGATCCTGCTCAGTAAAATGCATTCAAATATGCATTAAAAAAAAATCATAACTATATAGAAGAACATTTTGCTTGTGATGATGATGATGATGATAATTATTTTGTATGTTTCATCCTTCCTTTAAACTGTGTTCATTCATAAACTGTATTCATACTTGTGTCCGTCAGAGTGACGCACCATACTTACACCGCCTGATCACCTAGTGCTGTTGCTAAGATATACAGATTCAGTAAGCCTTATTGGCATGATAGATCAGAAACCTATGTATACAGATACTGGATGATGTTGCACGCAGCATAACGTTCACCACTTCATCTCCAGACACTTTCACGCCTGTCACATGTGCTCAGTGTGAACCTGCTCTCATCTGTGAAGAGAACATAGCGCCAGTGGCTGACCTGATAATTCTGGTGTTCTCTGGCGAATGCCATCGAGCTGCACAGTGCTGGGCTGTGAGCACAGGTCCCACTAGAGGGCGTTGTATATGTCTGTGTATATACTATGCTAGCAAAAATGAAGGGGACAAATTATACAATGAACATCAGTTAAGATATTCTCTTGAGTAATTCATGCATCAAGAGCTGATGTGTGATTTAATTGCTCCCTTCATTTTTTTGAGCAGTGAATGTATCACATTGTCACTATTGATTTTTGGAAATTATGGACTATTTCATGGCGATTTGAAAGTTTGTGTTTTGGTGTGTTACCATCTAAAAAGAATATGAATCTTCTTTTGACTTCTCTTACTTTATCTGAGTTCTTTAAATTTACTTTTTAGTTCAACCTGATTAGCTGGTAGAAAAATAAGTTTTTTATTAAATCAATTTCTAACCTGATATTCTACAGACGGTCTGGTGAAGCCTGGATAACTTATTCTTTACATCAATGTAATGAGGTTTGGTTTTTTAAAGAATTCTAAGTGAAAGAAAGAAAAAAAATTTAAACCAAGTTTGAAGCCCTGTATAAAAGCTTCACTTTGCCTACAAACCTAGATATAATGTAGTAGAACAGAATGCAATTTTGGATAATCTGATTACATGCTTACTGCTTTTATAGAATACAAATGTAAGAATGTGGACATATCTAGCTCAGGCATGATTCTTAAAAACTGCCTCGATGCACCAGTTAACCCCGTCAAGGAAAGAAAATGCACAATAATTCTACATTGAATAATACATTTGAGCCAAAGAAACCACATTCCCAGCTTACTGGCACTGCTGACACATTTAACCCTCTTGCCAATTCCTCTGCACTTGTCTCTTGTTTCGACATATCTCAACCGGTATCAGATCTTGCTGCGGAGGCAGTAACCCTGCACCCTGACAGGCTGACAAAAAAAATACCTGCAGCTCACACAGCAGTAGACTGATAGACCAGTTGCTTCTGCAGGGCCAGCAACACTCAGTGTGACCTCACAGGGATGGGACATGACATTACTGCTCTTCCAGCTCATTCTGACCCTCTACAGGAGAACTGAAAACCCTGCAGCTCTAAAGGTTCACAATGTACTGAGTGAATGTTGGAAGACGTGCACTTTTGTACTCATTCCACCTGACATGTTGGTCCAACCACCTCATAGTAGAGAATACTGTTTTTTTCCTTAAGCTGTGTGAAAAAGATTACTTTCTTTTACTCTTTCTTCTTTGACATGACGTGATGATGCTGGACATTTCTAACACTCTGTTGCCCTAACACCACAACAATGCCCAAAGCAGTGTTTTATAACTAGTCCAATTCAAGTTGGAGTTGGAGATTTGACTTTCTTCACAACTTCTCAGCTGGATCACCGCTGCCAAGGAGTTTATGTTTACACGTCCATTTGTTGGGGTTGCAGATCTGTTGGGGTTGCAGATCTGTATCAGGGGGTGAATCCAGAATGTTTTATATCACTTTCTTCAATTTGAATTTTCCCAAGGAATAGTTAATGGATCTTGATGGAAAAAAGCAGGCATATTTAGGGGACTGATGTCTATGAATATGTGAAATTTGGTGCAGCTGGATTGATCCCCTTGGACGAGATAAATGCTCTACTGAGTGCTATTCTAGTTATAAATGGCACATGAAGCTTGGATATAGAAAAATCAAGCAGTTGTTTTTGACACAACGCAATCCCAACTCGTTGTTTCTGTCAGAGCTTTTTGAAAAGTTGGCTCTCAATCTTCAAGGCAATGCAAGGCCTTGATATACATGTCTGTAAATTATGGGTGAGCATCTTGCCTGGGTTCAAAATGTAATTTCCTCCAAATCAGATCCAGACCCTTTAAATACCTTTTTAAATAACACTCCAAGGACCTGGCTCATACTTGCAGCGTTAATTAACACAGAGGCTCCTCAGTCACTCACCTTAAGACTTGTTTAGATTGTATTCACCTAAGGTCTGTGTGATGGCTGGTCTGAGGTAGGGTACTGTTTCATGCAGATCATACATAACAGTCACTCTGTCTGCTCCCTTTGGTTTTTAGAGACACAGAAATAACAGATTTAGTTGTAAATGTATGTCTGTACTTAAAGTGTCTCTTCATTGTGGTCAGTCAGCTGCATTATCACTTCTGCACAGATGATAAATTGATGGGGATTGAGAGGTTGTGTCTTGGGGCAACCAGGACCTTTCTGTTTAGATTTAACATTTTCTTCCCATTTATGAGTGGGTGTCTTCCAGATACTGAGGATCCTCCCACAGTTTAAAGATGTTACACTTTTTGGTGTCTGTAAATTGCCTGCAGGTGTGAATGAGCCTGGATGGTGGTTTGCTTTGTGATACACAGAACTGTGCAGGATATCTCACCCAGTGTCATCTGAGATTGGCTCCACCCAGCTTCCCCTTACCCTCATAATGATAATTGGTATAGATAATGGATGGATGGAGGTTGTGTATTTGGCATTATGCTGATTTTTGATTTCAAATAAGCAATTTAGTTCATTATCCATGCTTGTGCCTGTGATTTAATTTACCTTTATAGGTGCAGGGCTGATATCTGCTTCGGACTAGTGGGCTACCTGAACCTCTCCCACTCATTCTAAACTGAGTTCTTTCTTTACCCACAGGTACATTTCGCTGCACTTTCTGCCAGACAGAAGTAGAAGAGGACGAGTCTGTCTGTCCTGATGCCAGGACACTGGTGGCACGCTTCAATGAGCAGATTGAACCCATCTATGCGCTGCTACGTGAGACTGAAGATGTCAACTTGTCCCATGATCTGTTGGAACCTGAGCCTGCAGAGATCCCTGCACTCAAACAGAGGTCAGTTATGGACAAGTTTACAGAAAACAACACATTGAATCGCACTTGTCAGCATCTCATGGGCTGAATCCTGAACCAGTTTTGCTTACAACAGATTGTAGTTTGCCTCTGTTAACGACAACATTAGCCATAGTGCTATTGGCTCCAATTTTTCGCCGGTGCCACAGTGGAATTCCATTCTATTAAGCCACAGCAGTAGCTTAAATAGATTAGATAGATTATACTATCACAATTTTTTATTTTTAATTGAACTGTTAAAGATCATTATTTAAACAATATTTCCTAAATGTCTCCTACAGCCGTGAACGTGCTGCAGCAGCTGCAGGAAACTCTGCGAGCGGCCCACACCGTGAAGCCTGGTCTACCAAAGGCTCATCCTACGGAGACATGTACACTCAGAACGTTGTTATCAGCATGGAGGAGCAAGGAGATCAACAGAAACAGGCCAATGAAGGCAAGGCACCCAAGGAAAGGCCTGTCTGGTTGACCCAGAGCACCGTGCAGGGAGCTTACAGTGAGCCTGACGTAATCAATAACCGTAAGTTTTCTTTGCAATGTTCTTTCATTATGCTTCTGTGAATGCTCCTAAACCAATTAGATTATAGTGTATAATGAACAAGTATCTGATGCCCTAAAGACCAATGCAATGTTTTTAAATCCAGGGTTTCATTTTTACATGTGCAAACAGCAGCATAAACAGAAGAAAATGAGGATTCACTCATCATATCAAACACAAACATACACATAGACCCATCTCTCACAGTCAGGAGAAATCCAGTCGCTTCGGTGGACATTAAAAACATCTCTACTTCAGAGGTTTTGGCGACCAAGGCAGGCAGACGTCGCCATTACTTTCCAGCCTTTCTTCTGTTTTTTTATTCAGAAATGGCAACATGTCCACATTCTGTGGGGTCAGTCTCTTAACTGTGAGCTCCATGGTGTAGAATACCTACTCGGATGGCACTGGTGCACAAGGATTTTATTTTCAACAGATTAACAAATAATATTATTCAGTGAAATCCTGATTCTCAGTTAAACATTTAATGGTGAACATCCCTTTTCACAATAGTCTGTTGAGTCCGTTCATTGAAAAATTAGATGCAACACATTTTCAATTTAATTGCAAATAGTGTAACTTGTTTTTTAAGCCAATGGACACAAACTGGTGCGGATGGAGTGCATAAAGCCCAGTCCAGGCTCACACCTTTTGCTGCTCTTCTCTGACCTTTAAATTCCCTCTCTGCAGTCTTTGTAGTTGAAACAGTCTATTACAGGTCATCCCAGGTTATCTTTTACTGCCAGAGTCTTTCACTGAGGTATCTTGTGCTCACATCGTTTCTCTACCCAAGGGCACACAGATCTCAGGCCGGGCCAAAATCCTGTCGAACTGTAATTGCTTAATTGAAATAATGACATTTGATTAGTGCATGGCTGAGCAAGGATTGCTCATTAATAAAATTCATTATTGTGGAAATGGCATAAATTATGCCTTCCAAATGTCCAGTCTCTGAGGTGTGCATCTGTCTGTTATGACCTTGTTCCCCCTTCAGACCTTTAAACAGACATGACATCTGAGAGTGACGTGCTTTCTAAATAAAGCTTTTATTTACCTGCAGTAATTAGCGATGTCCCGATTAAGGTTTTTCAGCACTGATCCAAATCCGAGTCCTTCAAGGTTGTGTATCTGCTGATGCAGTTCAGTATATTTACTGAAATATTGATTAAACCCTTCCCTCACACTGAAATAACAACTCACACCTATTTTTTTCTCGAGCTGCTTGATCCAAAGACCCCATTAGGCTGATAAGCTTAAATTATTGATATTGATTAAATTAATGGGAGAAGGTGACTCTTGAATTTGACATAACACAATCAGCTGGAGCGATATGTCGCTCTATTAGTGTTAAGAACTGCTGAATCAGTCCCCTCGCGTTTATATGGTCATGTTCTAAAAGATCTTTGGCTGAGTACAGACACTGGCTAAAGAATGATGGTTGATGGGACCTACTATAGAGAGACTGTGATGTCTTGTTCCTGGCATAAATCAATGCAAATATTTCAGAATGCTTCAAAAGTTTAAAAGCAGCTTAAACTTAAGTTCCAGAGGAAATTATATGAAATAATTCAGAAGCGAATATATATTTCTAATAATTGTTGTTTCCTCAGGTGGAGACATTGCACCGGAAGCCCCTGATGGAGCAGCTGCTCATGGAATCGGTCAGGCGGATGAAAATGAGGAGGTGATGCGTGCTTTACTAATCCACGAGAAGAGGGGCGTGGCAGGACCAGGCGGGGGCGGAGCGAGCTCTGCTGCTAAGGGACTCACGTCCGCCACAGCGAATAACAGCGACTCCGATAGCGACACCAGTGAATCAGACGACGACCTCCCCGCAGGTCCTCCCCATACAACAGCTGCTCAGCGCCGGGCCGTTGACGAGGAGGACGATGATGACGATGAGTTTGAGGAGGTGGGGGATGAGCCGGTGGTGATGGTGGGAGGTCGGCAGTTCTCTTATCAAGAGGTGAGCCAGAGGCCAGAGCTAGTGGAGCAGATGTCTGCGCAGGAAAAAGAGGCCTACATTGAAATGGGACAAAACCTCTTCCAGGACATGTACTTTTGAATACACACACTTGACTATAATATGCACACTGTCAGAGTTGTTATCAGAGGAAATGTTTGTGGACACCACTTATCAAGAATGCTGCTCAACCAGTATTGACTGTCAAAAAGACATGTTTTGACAGTGTTGCCTCACTTGTAGTATCTTGTCTAAAGTATTTTTTGAAAGTTCACCAAACCAAAAAAGAGCTGGCCAGCTGCTCTTTGTGCATTTTTATTGGTCGTTGTTTTTTTTGTTGTTTTTTTTCATTTAAACTCTCAAGTTGAACAGATTACCTACACTAACTATGTTTCAGTTTAGTTTTTTTCAGTTTTCCTTCTCTCATAAAGAAGGATAAAAAGATTTCACACTTTAAGTCAATTTCTCACGTGTATTGAGCTTTGAGATTGGCTGAAATATGAGTGTGAAGCAGCATGCTGCTTCCACTACACTGTCGGTGTTGAGGCTTTGGATCAATGTCGACAAAAAGGTAAAACTGTATATAAATGACTGTCTCAGGCATTGTTGAATATGAGAGCAAATAAGAGATATGGGTAAGATGTTGACCTTATCGGTCAAACAGTTGTTATTTCGAAACAACCTGTAGTTACACAAAAATCACTGCAGTACAGACATACACATGTTAGTATAATAAAGGTGTTAACTAAAGGAGAAACTGAAGTCAGATTATATTAATGGGAATTATAAAAACTTTTTGTACAGATATTTCCAAGCATAAGTTTGAAAGACATTTTTCTTCTCAAACAGTAGATGAGACTGACTCATCCATTATGTTAGAAATTAATTCCAAAACTCGTATTTCACACTGTGCTTATGTGTCTGGATAAGACTTCATCCTCGACATGATGCCTATTAGCAGCTGGTGATGGCTGAATGCAAATGTGCTAAGAAGAAGATATGAGTTTTCAATGACACAAGGTGTGTTAACAATTATGAATCCAGTTTTTGCTTGTATTCACTTTGTAAAAAAATAAACCATTTTCATTTAGTTTTCTCTTAACCTTCCATGACGTGTTATATTCTCTACACACGAATACCATGTGCTGACATGTGAAACAGTCTCATTTCGCACAAGTTAATTTAACGTAAAGCTCTCAGTACAACGGCAACTAATACATTTCTGCTTCTCCTTGTGTTTCAGTAGTATATTTGTGTTTCAGAATTACTTTTCTAATTAAATTGATGCTCCACAATGAAGGGTCACTGCACCCAGTACTGGTATAAATCACACTTCATCTTCTTTCAAGTGTGGAAATTATGAGTGCAAGCTAAAAGTAAGTAACTAAAATGAACAGAAATGGTAACTTTTCAAATTCATCCATGCATGTTTGACTCCAAATCTCATCCAGGATATGGGAGTAGTCAGAATGAACATCTTCTACAACAAGGATCATAGCAGGACGTCTCTCTTTGGTAAGTATTACAACCCTTACCCGCTTATTATGCAGCATAACAGTGGATTTTGTCTTTCAATCACAATCCATAGTTATATGTAGGACATAGGTGGACATGTGGGAATTGTGCTAGAATCTCTGCAGTCAGGAAATTCAAACGCAAACACTGCTAGTCACCAAACTCTATATTAAATGCTGGGCCACATTCAATGTTAGTGATATTATTCAAGTTGACTGTTTTGGGTAAATGTGCTTTGAGAAGATCACTGTAAAGAAATTGGATGTCAGTTCGTCAAATAAGTAGAAAAAACTGAACCCAGCGCTCAGAGTCTGTTATTATACACCCCCTTTAAAAGCTAAAGTGGTAAATTTACTACACCTACTTAATAGCCCTTACTACAAATGCATATCCACATTTTCTTGGGAATGGAAGAGCATCCCACATCAATTGAGAAAAACTAAGATGTATTACACAAACCTCTGCTGTTCCTCTGGGTCACATCCAGGAGATGCTAATTTATTGAGAACAAGCTCCGTCTACTCCTCCGGATGTGATCCAGCAGGATGTTGAGTATTTTTCTTAAATAACGACTGTTTTATGTAACCATGGTAACCTATGGCACCGGGTCACATGCTCATAATGGGAGCAATTTCACCTCAAAGCAGAGGTGTGAATACTGATGTGGGTCTGGCATTTACAGAAAATCGTCCTTTTCAAATAAAACATTGAATGTTCCACCTGTCGTTTGCCCGCTCAAATCCAACCTCTCCTCTTGTTTTCTTTTCAAGCAAGATGCAGCACAAGTCTCTGCCATGAGGAAGGTGTTAGCATTATGCTGGAATCTAGTCCAAATAATAGAAGAATTAAAGCTGAATAAATGTTGCCGATATAAGAAATATGACATTTGAGGATTTGTAAAAATCTATAGCCCACCCTTTACACTGCAATCATCTGCTAGACACAATATGATAACGATCCAAGATACTAGTATGAGACAAACACTGGGGGTTTCACTGAAAGAAAACCAATATAGTGTCTGTTAAATGGCTTTTCCTGAATAGTAATATAATAGTTATATATATTTAATCATGTTTGTGCATTCACCTCCGCCAAGATGTTAAATCTCGGGTGTTACATCTCCATAACTGACGATCCGAGCTGGAGCTGACAAAAAACCTGTGTCGACTGCAGAGTCGTTAAACGTGAAAGTGAATGCTGATATAATCCATTCCCACTGCAGACTACAGCCAGATGTTAGAGGTGTTTTTGACCAGTGGAAAAGGGGCTTCACAGGAATACCCAAATGTTCAAAAATATGTATTGCTTGTTCTATTGTTCCAAATGTTATGCAGTGGGGATGTTTGAGCCTCTACTATCTCAATACTCATATATTTATTTCAGTAGTTGATGATGTGACCAAAATAATGAAAAACAAGTGAATGTTGTAATTAATGTTTGTCGACTGGCCTAAAAACGTGATTCCAAACAAATGCTGCTGCTGTTGTGTGTCTACTGTGTAAGGAGTGTGTAATGTATAATTAGAGAAGTGTTTGCCAACAAGTGAGCCAAAACGATAGTCTGCTCTAGAGGCCAGAGATTAATTAAAGGCAGCTCCGAGGGAATTGGTACTAGAAGGTTTTAATCTTGGCCTATTACCTCTGCACTTTACCCAACCATGCATGTACTGCACAAACCATGTGAAATTATGGATTTAAATACTTGCCTTTATTCATCTTTTAAATGTGAGTTCAAGTGCAACATTTGCAGTCAACTCGACATTAAAACAATCTGTGCAGTTTGGCTGCATGGAAACAGCTGGAACTTAAAGGTCTAACCGTGTGCACGATATGAAAAAAGCCCTTGGTTTGGGTGACTTGATGTCACATACACTGTACATCATTTACACACCTGGTGTATTGGATTCGGGTTAAAATGTCACACTGCAGAGGGGCTTGGTGAGGTCGGGCACCTCTCGGGCGGCTCGACAAGCCCATACATTCCTTTTAAGTTAGAGGATGGACACCTGTAGGGCAGAGTCTTAAAGGTCAGGATGAAAACAGGACCTGGCCTCATTAGTACAACCCCCACCTTTCAGGACAGCTCAATTAAAAAGCTAACCTCACGCTGTTCCATTGATCTGCCCAGGCGAGCCTGAGAGTGGGGAGGTAGGCTGGGTTTCAGGGAGGATGAACAGAACTCTGTAGGGATTCCACAAAGCTGTAAAAAAAAAATAATAAAAAAAATTGGGGGACCTTGAAGATCAGGTGCAGCAGTGAGATTGTGGTTAAGTCATTTAAACATTGATTCTGGAGTTAGGGCACAGAACTGGTCGTCCCTCTTGCATTTTTTTCTGTTGATTTGGACACAAATGGACATTATTCCATTTCTCAGGAAAATAATTTAACAGCGTTGACCTGCAGGGAGCGGGTGGCATTTCCCTGGGTCAGGATTTGGTGTAGCTGTGTTTATATTTACTGTGTGTGTGTGTGTGTGTGTGTGTGTGTGTGTGTGTGTGTGTGTACTCACAGAGGCAGGTTGGACTGATGCTTCATGAGCTCTGCCTGGGAAGATTACATAAGGGCTGATTGATTGGAGGTGTCTCTGTCACTCCTCATCCAATAATGAGCCAACATTAATGACTTAATGATCGACCCAGTTTGGCCGTCTGTCATTCAGACTCCAATTTGCTAATTTCCAGACACCATTTTATCAGAGCAGACACATCACCACATTTAATAGTGCAAACGTCAACATGACGGCATGGTTCTAAATATTTCAGAGAGGGAGGTCATCTGAACATTTTACACCGTCCTGGTGAAGCTTGCTGCTTGGAGGAATCACCTCCATGTGCATCAAGGAAGAAAATCGGCAACTACAGTGGAAACAACTGTGGTGCGTAGGGGAATAACCATTATTAACTGCCACAACCGCAAAAAGCTCCAATGCACTTGAATATTTGATTAATATTTCCCAGCATTTATGCTTTTTAAAGCATATTTCATCAGCTGGATTATGTTCTAGTTTAATTGATTTCTAAAAACATGAAAACAAAACTAAGATTTATAGCATGCTGATTTTTTTAGTATATTTTTTATCGTCTTCACCGTCTTAGTTAAGGTTTTCAGTAGCTGTGGCTAATTAATCAATCAAACTTACGTACTATAGGATAGTGGAGTCCAAACTGCTTCAAAGATTTTAAACAAACAATAAAAAGTTAGTTAGCTAAAATTATAATAATTCTTCTTCATCTTTCGGCTGCTCCTTTTTCGGGGTCGCCACAGCGGATCATCTGCCAATATATCCACTACCCCTCCTATTTGTGATCCGCATGTTTGTTTTGGCACAACTGCTTCTGCGTCGCAACCCTCACCATTTATCCGGGCTTGGGACCGGCACTAGAGCTACCCAAAAGTGTGTCCCTAGTGGCTGGTTTTAATATTATAATAATTCATTATTATAATAATTGAAATTTGAAAAATATTTTACATGCAATGAAATAATGTCCAAAAACAAGGCTAATGAGATTTTAAAGGTTTTAAGCTTGTTTCCTGGTTGAAATAAAAGCACAAATCAGTTTTGCTGGTTTTAAAATACTGGAAAAACTGAAATTCATCCCTTTTATTACGGTGTTCTGCAGTCAGACTCTCATAAAAGACACAATAATGTAAAAGGGGAAAAAAACACTGTAGAGAGATATTTCATTCTGATATTGTTGCATGATCAATGACAACAATGAGATATAGTCCCTGATGCATTTCAAGGATACGTTATTACTTCTGTCTATCTGTCTCACTCTCTCTCTCTATTCTATTTGTATAGCGGCAATACACAATATACTTTATTTAAAGGCACTTGACATAGAAGGTCCAGACCTTAAAACAAAATATAGAGAAACTGAACAGTTCCCACAATGTATCTATCCACCAATCTCTCCATCTCTCCATCCATCCATCCATCCATCTATCTATTTATCCATCCATTCATCCATCCATCTATCTATCTCTCTATCTATCCATCCATCCATCCATCCATCTATCTATCTATCTCTTTATCCGTTCATCTAGCCATCTATCCTTCAGCAATGACTTGAACTGTCACAGTGGAACGATCTATTATCCGCCCGTCCGTCGAGTCTGGAATTGAGGGGTTGTTGTGCTGCGGCTGCACATGTTCAGCTTCCATCACTGCAACCATGACAAATGTCTGTTCTTATTTAGAGGCTGTTAACCTTTTGTAGAAGCATTTCATATCCACTCTGAAAAGAACAACCATTATTCACATCATTTATTCATGATAGTCCCCACACTCTGTGTCCACAGCAGCCAGGGACAGTAATGCATCTGAGGAGGGCCACTCACGTCAGCCTGACACACAGTGTACAGGCCTCTTCACACCTGGTATTAACACTGACTTCAAATGACAGCTGCTTTGCATGGATGCTGTGGAAATCTCTTTATTTTGTCTTTGTTTGAAGTACACGATGAGGGTCTATTTTAATAATGGCACAATGATTATATTTTCAATTATAACCATGAAATTAAATGCAGAATATTAAAGGAAATTTGTTGAACAGGGTCATCATAGAAATGGAGAATGTAAACTGCA